GTGTGTGTGTGTGTGTGTGTGTGTGTGTGTGTGTGTGTGTGTGTGTGGTCACTTGTTTAAAAAGAAATAAACAACCCTTTCCTCCACGAGTGGGCATTTGCAAATAACTGTGAGGGTGTGACTGACATGACGTGAAGTTTGAAAGCCTCTCAACAGCTAAGGTGCAGTTGAAAAGCAGCCATGTGCGCGACCATGTGTGCGTCTGAGAGAATGCGAGTGTTTAGAGTTTCTATCTGCAGCTGTGTCTGACCACAAGCAGACTGGAACAAGAGTGTGTGTGTGTGTGTGAGTGTGTCAGCTTCAATACTGCCTCGGCGTGGCTAGTCCTGATGGAAATGCACCCGTGTGATAAGAAACGGCTGCGTATGAAGCCCTTCGCTGTTCTCCCGAACATGACAGCAGCTGTCAGCACCTGGGGTGGGTTTGTATTCGCAGCGGTGACCCCTGAAGAGAAAAAAAAAAATCACCCCTTCGTCGAGATGGGCTCATTGGAGCAGCCAATCCGGAGGAAAGGATGAGGGCGTCTGCTCTTCTGTGGGCAGGCTGTGGGCATCATGTCCCGGGGGACATGATGTCAGGAAACCTGGCAGCTAGTGGCCTGAAAGCAGCTGACTTCACGTGCGCATAGCACAGCATCAGGTTACTAGCTTGTTATCAGTCTGCAAACCCAACTTTAGCTGGAAAGATAACTTCTAACAATAACTGCGGCCGACTGCTAAAACAGTCCAGGTGGAACGTGCTCCCGCCGGCCTTCGGGTGACCTGAACTGGGGAAGTCCTGGAAAATAGACTCCCGGGTCAAAGTGAAAGTCTTCTTTTGGGACATGCATTCATTGAGGTACTATTTACAGTAAATAACATTTCCCACATCCGCACAGGACATTTTCTGTAACCGGATTTTGTAGGTAGGATGGACGAGTCAGAAAAAGACCTGAAACATAACGTTACAAAACTATGACCAGACCAAGTGTAGCAGCGTCCATCTGTTAGTTTCAGTAGGTCTGCTTGAATGTATGTTTGTTATATTCAAAATACTTTTTTTCACAGCACAAACAATGCTTAAATCGAAGAA